TTCATCGATGTCTGTTTCCTTAACGACTATAAATTAGAGGAAAATTATAAGGCATCTGAAAAGCAAGTTTCAGTGAAAAGTCATTCATGTACTTACTTTTAATTTCATTAAGTAGTGCTCCTGGCATAGTCTAATAGGTAACTGATGAAATTGCCTATTTATCAATTCCCACATTGCAGCAGCGGCAGCGTAGGCGATGTTAAAAACAGTGTATGCTTAAAAAAAGCAGAGTATATCCACAGCTTTAATATTTAATTTTGTATTGTTTTTTATCCAGCAAATCCCTTTTTAAGACGTTTAAAATTATATTATACGCCTCACAGCAGACAACAAGTAATTCCGCAATGACACGCGATACATAAAAATACGATGAAATATTAAATTGCCGGTAATTGAGTATATTGTACGAAAATATTCGTACATTGTACGAATACAGAGATGTAGGTTTCGTAAATTTTAAAACCATACGTAAATATTACGAATGCCTTCCTACAATATACAAAATTATTCGTACAGAGATTTGTTCAGTGCTTTACGAATGTGTTTCGTAAAATAAACGTAAGATTTCGTAAATTGTACTGAAAAAATGCCTTACGAAAGTCCTTTCGTAATATTTACCTATGGTTCGTAAAATCTTGTTTCGTTGTGAAAAATGTGTTCGTACTATGAACGAAAGTTTCGTACATTGTACAAAAACCAAGACTACGAAAGTTTTTCGTAGCACTTTTACGAAATTTTATTTTTAGTGAACGTAAGAAGACATAGATTTGAAAAAAGTTAAGGCGCTGGTGGCGCCTATGTCAAAAGAAAAAGTTCAAGAACAATATTAACAAAAAATTTTCAATGGAAATTTGAGTAGATAACGTTACGCCAGGTAACGTCACGTCAGATAGTTCAGCTGATTAAACATAAAGCAGAAAATATTTCTACATTTAAAAACTTGGAAAATTAGCCTTAAACATTTCCAACATTACTACAAAAACTTTTATACAAATAGTCTTGCCCAATTCGCAGGGTTTTGCAATTTTGTAAACGAAGGCAAAATCCACTTCATACTGTTTAATTTTTTTTACTGAATAAGGGGCCATTGAATTGCTATGCAAATCTAAATAGACGTTTTTAAAATTTTTACTTTTTTAGTATTTTTTTGTAACATTTTGTCATACGAGTGTCACATAACGTCAGTTTGGAAATACCCTTATATATTGTTATTTCAATATAGCACATACATACATACCTTTTTTATTTAAATAACTCACAGTATGTGCTTATTAAAAAAGAAAACATAAAAAAATGTATTTATGAAAAAAACATCAAAAGCAAAAAACATAAATGAGGAAATTGTAATGATGGTCATACACGTTTTTAGCCATCTTAAATTTAAAAATAGATTGTGGACATTTGTACGATCTGCAGTCAACACATTCCTCTTGCAAAAACGACCGAATCATGCAAATATTTATTCACATTTCAAAAATTCCCTACATTTTAAGATATATAAAAAATCTGCCCTTCTACGTACGCATTTTTCCAGCCAAAAATCCCTATATGTAGGGAATTTTCGTTCGTTTTGCGCTTTACTAGTAGATGACATTGGCCATGATGACAATTTTGGTACTAAAAACCATGATAAAATCATAACAAGGTAAAACCATTGAGAGGCAGCCTGATGTTTGCCAACAATATAATTTTAAATTCAAAACTCAAACTCACACACACATTCTCATTTTCAATCTCAAACAACAACAATTGTGAACAATTAATTTTTTTTATTTTCAATTTTATATGATTTTAAAGTGTCGGCAAAGGTCAGAAAAGAATCATGGCCGAAGAATTGAGAGAACGAATTTACCATGTAATGTTTTTATCATGCTAAAAACTGCTTGCCTGTGCTTACCGATTTTCCCAGTGGGTATTTAAATTTTTTTTTTTTGGTTTTGTCTATCTGGATTACTGTATACATTTATTTTAATGGTAATTTTCTATTCATTTTGGTGTAAAAACAAATTAAACGTTTATAATTTTACGTGTACAAATACAAGTGCTGCGAATTAAAATAAAGAGAAAAGGTAATAGGTGACTCGCTGAGTAATCGTTCCTGAGTTTCTACGTAAGTCAATTCAAGTCTACGTCTTTTATAACCCAGCTTTTGCAGATTTTTTGCTTTTCCAGAATCCAAAACATATCCTTATATAAAAACAATATTGCCCGGCGAGGCTCGACCAGTAAACAAATTGGTTGTTATTTGAAATTTTTGCTTAAAATAAATCTTCCACACAATAATAAACACAATGTACAATCTGCATCTTGTTATTTTTTGCATTACAATATAATTGTCATACTAGAGTTAAAAGGGTGTTTTTGCACTCTATGACACCTTGCTTCATATATCATAAAAATTATTCGAGGCTCTATCTATAGTTAGGTACATACTAGGGATGTTTCGAATGGCATATTTTTCACATTCGCGAATGCGCATGCGAATGTTAGGAATACCATTAAAAAATTTTATACATTTTGTAAATTACTAGAACATTGAAGGAGTACTTAACCTAGACAGTGTTTTAATCTAGTAGTCAAAGTTCAAAAGGGGCATATTATACTTCAAAATAACAATTGCTCACTAGGAACGCTGGGGGGGTGGATCGCTCAAATATTTGCGGGCCAGATCTGTCGTATTTTAGTTCTCCACCAATCAAGATGATTTTCACCGAGATGAGCTCGCTTTTCTTTAAGACAGACCTTCAATTGAGCTTTGATTTCACATTTTTTAATGTCCGCAGATTCATCCGAGCCTTCGCTTTCGATGGGGGAATCTAAAATTATTTTTAGGTTCCTTATATGACTTAGCGGTAGGGTCATTCCAGCGAAGAAGACACCTCGGGTAAAAAAAATAAATTACATAAATTGTCTTTAAAATCTACGAAAACGGTAAAGCAGGTAGAACAATGCTATAGAAATAGATTTTTATCGATTTATTTTTCACTTTTTGCTCTATTTTATTTTTATAAATACAAATATACATAGTATGCTGTAATATTTTTGCATTAAGTTTTCAAGGCTTTTCTCGTGTACTAAAGGTGACAATGCAAAGAATAATTATCCAAAAGAAAGAACAATTCATGAATTTTAAAATGTTGGTAACCTTTTAGAAAAATAAGTTTATTGTAAGAAGTTATAAGAGTTCAAAAAAATGCTTACTAGATGTCCCACCCGTCACAGCAAAATATGTATTTTTTAACGTAACACGCAAATTCCTAAGTGTCCCATTGTTTAAAAGAGGTCCCCTTATTAAAATTATAATAAATATTTACATCAAACCAGCAGTGTTCATTTTACTCACGAACTATGTATCCTCAAAAGGGGATTCATCCCACACGTCACAAAATGTTGTCCCACTCGCCTCAAGCTTAAATAGGTTTTGTTTGTATTTGAAAATATAATAAAGCCATTAAGGATAAAATGGTACTTAACATTCTACCAACTATATTCGGTTTCGTAATAAACTGATATCTGACTTCAAGTGTTAACAATTTGACACTTGTCCAATCAATAGTTAAAGAGAGTTTACTAAAAGTTTGAGCAAAAACGAGTTAAAATGACCCACCCGTTACTTTGGAATGCCCGGTACTTGGTGAAGACCCATGAATGTTGCTTGATATTCTACTTACCCGTTTAGCGCCTGAAGCTAAAAGCCGGTTATTGTCCGCACCCTGTAGCTCGTTTCTGTAACAATTCTCTACCAAGGCGAAGAGACTTGAATTGGCCGCCCTGTTCTCTACTGCTAATGAGTAGTAGAGAATGACGTATATTCTCTACCAGTAGAGAAATAATCGGTAGAGAAGAGTTACAGAAACGAGCTACTGGTTAGACACACTCAGAGCCATTTCAACAATATTAGAGTGGACTCTCTGCCCATGTACACATTTGCATTCGCAAAACATTCGTATCATTTGATGCGAATGCGGATGTCGAATGTGAATGTGTAAAATGATGCGAATCATTCGCATAACGAATGCGAATGCAAATATTCGCAACATCCCTGGTACATACATATGCATGAAAAATAACGAAGGGTTCAACCAGTTGGATGATTGAATCGTTTTAGATGTCTAGTTAAATTTTCCTTATTTGACAAGCTGAATCCAATCCGCCAGTGACCTAGCTGGAGGCTATTCATGGAAAATATTTTTACATGTGCCGGATGAATGAAAATGGAGGCTATTCAAGACAAAAAAAAAGTTATGAAAAAAGTGTGTCCGCATAGGACGTGCGTAACGCAGGAAATGCCCATACGTACATACTTATGCATGTACAGCGTGGCGACGAATAACTGTTACCCAGGTTTTTTTGAGAAATAGAAGAGTCCTTTATAGATTTTGCGAAAAAAGTATGTTATTGTTAATTTTCCACAGATTTTACTTTAGTTGTATTCATTAGTTTTTTAAATTTTAATCCTTATTTACATTTGCCAGCAGTGTAAACTTTGAGAGAAAAGTTCATTTGGTACGCAGGTCCTCGTCAGTTAATTTGTTCCATATCTTCTGTAACCATAGGCTAATTTTCTCCATTTTGAGTCCCTTATACTCCCCCTTCTGTCCAAAATAAGGCCTCATACTCAAAAATCTAATAGACTCCGGACTGGTGACTAGGACGGCCATTCATTCGACCAACCTTATACAGTTTTTTTCTTTTTTGTACTTTTTTTATACAAAGCCTAAGAAAAAATACACCTGAAAAAGACTTGCGTGAAAATTAAATTTTCTCTCAAAGTTTACACTGGTGGCAAATGTAGATAAGGATTAAAATTTAAAAACTAACTAATACAACTAAAGTAAAATCTGTGGAAAATTAACAATGAAATACTTTTTTCGCAAAATTTATAAAGGACCCTTTTATTTCTCAAAAAAAACTGGGTAACAGTTATTCGTCGCCACGCTGTATATACATATAATATAAATCTAACTAAATACATATATACATACATATTATATGTATACCTGGAGATTTTTTTCGTTTTGCCGCTCCGCCTGTACACTTCTCTGCCAATTATACCACCCATTTGACCACCAAGTGAATGACCAACTATATGGAATTTCTTTATATCCAAGCCCAGCTCAAACATATTAACCAAGTATCTCGCAAGTACTGATCCAAGCTTCGATTTTATAATTAAAGAATGATATAAAAATTAATGGATTAGACATAGATACATACATACATATCACTAGATTCGAGTGTGAAGTCGCTAAGTACACTTTCGTGAAAACTCATATTTTATTATACTTATGTAGGAAGCAAGATCTGAGTTAGAAGTACGTACTACCACTCCGTAGGACCTGGGTTCGATATCAGCCCGATCAACATCTAAATTAGTATAAGTTGTTTCTAACAGCGGTCGCCCCTCGGCAGGCAATGGAAAACCTACGAGTGCATTTCTGTCTTGAAAAAGCTTATCATGAAACCATTAACTTTCGGAGGCGTTGCACACATATAGATTTAGACGATTTGGGCGGCCAAAAGTGATATTATTAAAAGTTAACATATATGAACATAAATGTGTGGCTTTATTTGGTACTACACAAGCCTAGGAACCACACACTATCCCTGCCACTCACGCATAACGCCGGTGTGTGCTACTTATACTTAGTATACGCATCTGTGCCCAACAATCTTATGAAAACAATGTTTTAACTGTCATAATTTTGATTACAACTGAATAATTATAATTTTAGTGATGGATGCTAACAGTGTTGCCAGAAAAATTTCGTTTGGAGCTAAAATGGTCGAAAAAAAGCTAACAACATCTAAATAATTCTAATAGTAGCTAAAATGAAGAGCTACATTTTTTTTTAAGTGGAGCATTTATTGACGTAAAGTTGTTTTTACAGTTTCCGCAATTTTAATAAACACAACGAATTTTATAAATTTAAGTGCTGAAAAAAACTTTTAAAACCAAAATAAGGTTCATAATGTATTTCGAATTCATTGCTACGGCAATTATTTGTATGTATATACTTATATAAACTAGACAATGAACTAAAAATATTTGACAAACTGTTAAAATCTGCAGTTTCGGATATTTGAATTGACCATAAAAACTCGGGTTACGAATCATTCTTCGCAAAATTTTTGTAAAAAATTTCATCTCCTTCTCTCCTTACGGTAAAACTAAGAAGGTAAATACAAAATCCGCGCGTTCAGAAAAACGATTTTCTTCTAATTAATTTTTGAATTTTTTTACCTAGATCGAAGAGTTCATGGTGGAGTCGGCATTTTCCCATAGAATCAAATGTACGTTTTTGCACTGCATTTCGAACTTGTAGTTTTATCAACGCTTAAATTTTGGCTTTCCTTTTAAACCACCGTCTGAGCTTATCGGAGCTCGAATTACTGCCCGGTATAGTTTTGTGTGCTGCTGCGCACGTTGTAGAAACTAATCGACCTACTTGCCCATTTTTACAACGCTTTTATCAACTTGCAGTATTGTATGTCCAGACCACCATTTTATATACTATAAATATAGCAAAGGTATTTATGGCAAACCTAGTCTAGATATCAACCTCGTCGTAGGTATCATATCAAAGACATACAATTAGAAGAACTCTAGGGATAGATGTCGCCTCGCCAGAAGAAGTTAAAAATATGCACTACATGCGCTACAGCGGAAATGGACGACAAGCCATTCCTTTAAATGAAATTAATTGCTGCTATATGTATGTATGTACATATGTATGTAGGCATATACTAACAGCCCGATTCTGTGCACTTGATAAATTGAAAATCTTTATAATTTGTCATTTTTTTATTATTTATCAAGAATTGGTATTCTAGCACAGAAACCAAAAGCTTTTTTCTTGATAAATTATCAAGATTGAAAATGCTATTGACAAATTGAAATTTCATGTGAAATGTAGACATTTTGTATATTAATAAATTTGTTTCTAACAATTAAATACTCCATGTGCCGGCATTTGAACCTGCGACACACGGAATTATAGTCGACATCTCTAGCTACTCGGCTACGACAGTCAAAAGCTTTGTTGCTTTTAAATCCATATTTTTCATATGTGACAATGAAATCAGTTCCACACATGTGGAAATCAGTTCCACTTATGTGGAAATCGTAGAGCTTTTTGTTTTATAAATATTGACACAGAATACGAGAGAAGCTTTTACTTGATAAAAATCTTGATAAAATTTCTTTACAAAAAATTTATCAAGAAAACACAGAATTGGGCCGTAAATGTGAGCAAACAACATTTTGCTTGCATAGAGCGTGTGTGAATCGGTAACAAAGTTCGCGGCAAGTAAATTTTTGACAAGTTTGAGGTGAATAAAATTTCAGTAGCCCATAGGGCTAGTGAAATTTTTGACAAATGCATAGAAAATTTTGACAATTGCAAAGATTGTTGCTGTGTGTAATTTTTCGTAAAATAAAAGCTTAAGTTGATGAACTGCAATCAATGATGGTAGATGTTTTCTTAAAATATTAATTTCACTCAATTTGTAATAGTTTATTGCGCATAAATCTGCGGTTATGAAAAATTTACTGCTGTCAAAAAAGATTTCATTTCACACAGCAGATTGGCAAAACTGTCTCACCATAGTAAAAATATTATTCAACAGCTTTCCCCATAGAACTTTGCTACCGATTCACACACGCCCATAGTCTTCTGTTCTCTTTTCACTGCAAGTTTAATTATTTTAGTACCTATTGCAAAATTTTATACAGACAAGACTAAAAAGTATAAAATAAATTAAAAAAACAACTTTTTAATGTACCACGCTTTTATAAATGGACTAAAATTAGAAAATAATATATCTCAGTCCCATAGAACTTGTTTTGATAACTTTTGATTTTGAAATTTTAGCAAAAGTCATTATAAACAATTTATGAGATTGAAAATGAAAAGCGTGGGGCGCATGTAATAGGCCTGAATTGAAATTGAAGAGTAATATATGTATGTATGTGGGTATATTAATAACGACCGCTTAAAATCGATCTCAAATTTGTACTTTCGCTGTATAAATTTTAGGTCTATGTTATGTATGTAGTTTGAATATTGTCAATTAAATCTTCGCTGTATAAATTTTAGGTCTATGTAATGTATATAGTTTGAATATTGTCAATTAAATCTAATGCTTTGTATTGCATGCGCTCCACGTTTTTACAACGCTTTTATCAACTTGCAATGTTGTATGTCCAGACCGCTTTGAATTTTGTATGTCCAGACCACCATTTATACTAGCTGCATTTTTTTGTAAGCGAGCGACAAAAGAACGCTCAACTCGGGTAAAATTTCCTTTTAGCTACTTAAGCAACCCTGTTGGTAGCTGGCAAGAAAATGTGATTAGTTTAACGGGATTTAGATACAAAAACCAATTTAAATGAGTAATTATTATTAAACTGCTGCTATATGTATTTATGTACATATGTATGTTTATACTAAATGTGGGCAAACAACATTGTGCTTGCATAGTCTTCTGTTCTCTTTCACTGTAAGTTGAATTATTTTAATATCTGTTGCAAAATTTTGTACAGACATAACTAAAAAGTAAAGAATAAATAAAAGAAAATAAAAACTTTTTAATATACAACGCTTTTATAAATGGACTAAAAAGTAGAAAATAATATTTCTCAGTCCCACAGAATTTGTTTTGATAATTTTTGATTTTGAAATTTTAGCAAAAGTCATTATAAACAATTTATGACTTTGAAAATTAAAAGCGTGGGGCGCATGTAATACACTTGAATTGATATGAAAAGTAACATATGTATGTATGTGGGCATATGAATAACGACCGCTTAAAATCGATCTCAAATTTGTACTTTCGCTGTAGAATGTTATGTAGTTTGACTATTGTCAATGAAATCGAATGCTTTGTATTGCATGCGCTCCACGTTTTTCGTTTTCAATGTCATTAATTGTTTATAATGACTTTTGCTAAAATTTCAAAATCAAAAGTTATCAAAACAAATTCTGTGGGACTGAGAAATATTATTTTCTACTTTTTATTCCATTTATAAAAGCGTTGTATATTAAACAGTTTTTTTTATTTTATTTATTCCATTTACTTACCCACCATTTGTATTAGGAATGGAACTTTTCTAAATCTTAATCGAAATAGAATAACATGAAGGTATCGAAAATAGCCTGAGATCACCAAACCCAAGTAAGTTTTAGTCAACACTTGTACAATGATGTTACAGATTTTTAATGTTATTATACTACCAAATGCAACTAAAACTTTCTAGAGCTCAAAAAGTTCTAGATAATCTGGAAGAGAGCTAGGAGCTAAAAATCCAGCTTTAGGAGCTAAATATAAAGATAAAGAGCTAAATCTACCTGGGAAATGATATTGCCTTTTAACAAAATTTAGTAAATATTTATTTTTTCTAATTATTTTCTTTGGTGGCCGCTGAGGTGTAGTGGTAAGCAGTGCACACTTCCACTCCGCAGGGCCTGGGTTAAAGCCCTGGTCAAAGCAACATCGCATAAAAATGTAGAAAAAAGGTTTTTTCTTAACAGCGGTCGCCCCTCGGCAGGCAATGGCAAACCTCCGAGTGTATTTCTGCCATGAAAAACAGCTTCTCATAAAAATACAATCGCCCTTTGTACGACAACATAAGGCGCACGCCATAAATCGAAGGAAAAGCTCGGCCAAACACTAACGTATGTGTAAGCGCCAATCTATTACACAGGGCAACACTGATTTTGATGAGGCAAATGCTAAATTTTTTATGTGCTGACTACGAATCCGTAAGTATAAAGTTTCCATCAGCTCCAGATATTGAGAAAAACGTGGTGAAAGTGTAAAAAAATCGCGTTTTTTGCAATATGTGAGAAGCCTTTACAAAGAAACAAAAGGTGATAGAAGCTTTCACTTAAGTCTAAATTAAAGCTAGAACTCTCTTCTACTATCCCCGAAAAGATCATCCCTACTCCTCGACCCGATGGTCACTTATAGACATTTATTGAAAAATAAAAATAAAAATAATGGAAAATTGTGCTATAGAAAATAAAATTTTGCCAAAAATCTGTTTTTGCGGTTCAATAAATTACCATAAGTGACCTTAGGATCAAAATATCGGAATGGTATTTTCAAGGGTTGTAGTAGAAAGTCCTAGCCTCAATTTAAGCGTAAGTGGAAGGT